TTGAGCCAAGCCGGCCAGGTCTCTCCTGGCTCTTTCTTGCTCCCCCAGAGAAGAAACTGAAAAGAGTCTGGGGAGCGGGTGAGATGGGGGGGTGCGATCCCCAGGGCTGCCCTGCTAATGCTGGGGACCCCAGAGCGACGCCTTGCCAATATTTCTCACCGGTCCTTGGGGGGGGAGGAGGGAAGAGAGACCGACATGTCTCCAGACACACCCACCCTGCCTCCCAGGTCAGATCCTGGTTCTATATCCAGAAACCACTTGCACGATGATCGTGAAAATATAGTCTCTTTCTTAGACGAGCAAGCTTGCCACCCTCCGTCCGCCTTGGGCGAAGAATGAACTTCTTTCGCTAAGGGCTCGGTTGGGAACCAGCGTGCGGGCGAGGTCTCAGCGGCAAGCCCGGGGAGTGTGTTATAATTCTGACAACGGGGCTCCCTCCTGGGCTGTTTACTTGCCCTGTTGGCTGTTTTAAACTTTTTGGGTCACCCTTTGCTTGAAACTAGAAGAGCAGAGCCTCCGGGGCTATAGCTGTCCTTCTCTGCCTGCGTCTCTCCATCGATGGATCTGCATCTCGGGCGCATTGTGCCCGGTGGGCGAGGAGGCGGCTTCCGAGACCCTCCCGACGGTACCTCCCCTCTCCCCAGCTTTGCACCCGTGAGCTGCCGGCCAGCCTAGGCATTGAGGCTAATTAGAAACCGTGGGAGGGGGCAGCACACATTTCAGGGGTGCTGATGGCCTGTGAAGTCTGGAGAGAGAGGAAGAGACCCCCTTCCCCTTTGGGGGAGAAGCTTAGCAGCCCCCTCTCTTCCCCCCCCTTCCTGTGGCTCCATCCAGCCTTTTTGCATTTGCATCCATTTCCTAGGGAACCGATTTCTTTGGGAGGGGGAGGAGGATGCAGAGGATTTTAAAGGGGAACTGAGGACCTCGGACCCGCTCTGCCGGGCGACCGGAGGCAAAGGCTCCGTCTCCAGCTTAGCCACAGACCTCTTGGTCCGTTCCTCCCTCATTGACCTCGGTGGGTGAGGCCAAGGCCCTCCTCCTCACTGGTCAGCTCACAGAGCCCACAGGATGCTGTGATGGATTTTTGCCTGTCCTTGGGCAGGGCTGCCCCATGGTCAGCTCACAGAGCCCACAGGATGCCGTGACGGGTTTTTGCCTGTCCTTGGGCAGGGCTGCCCCTGGAGAGGCGCGTTAGGGCCTGAGGCAGCATCTCTTTTGTTCCACCGCCCCCAGTTCCTTTGAGGTGACCTTGGCAGCTGGGGGGGGCTGCCCCGCCCCTCCTGCCTGCCGGCTGCTTGAGAAAGCCGTAGTCTAGCAGGGCAAGGGGAGTTCCTGCAAAATCAGCAGCTCAAATGGGGGGGGGAGGGGAGCATGTCAGACCCTTCCAGGGGGAGCTTTAAAAAGACCGCAATTCTCATCCATTTGTGCGTTTGTGTGTGTTGCATCTTGCCCACATGAGTCCTTTTGTTATAGAGCGGTGGGTTTTGTCTTTCTGTTGCTTCACACACTCCAGAGAAGCATCACCCCATCGGCCTAGCGCATGCATGCAGGTCCTTCCTGACGGCGCTCTCTCTTGCTTCTGGCTATGCCTTCAGCTCCCTCTCAGAACACAACTGTGGGGCTTCTCCTCTGCTGCTGAGTTTTAAACTCCTTGGGCTTGGAGGATGTCCTGTGATAATGTCATATTTTGCTAGCGAGGAGGGAATAAATGCTAGTGCGCTGTGGCTAAAAAGCAAGTCCTTTTGGCTGATTTGTGCTTCGAAGGAGTTCCTTGAAATTGTGCTGCTGGGTGTTTTCTTAAACATTTGTTGACGGCTGGTGGCTTTTAGCATCGGGGGGCTCCATGAATGAAGGCTTGGTGGCTCCGGCATCAGTGGAATGTTGAATCTGCTTTGGGGTTTAGTCTCAGCGTTACAAGAGCTAACCGTGGTCCTGAACGCTAGTGTCCACGGCAGCCTTAAATGTATTTATTGAACTTCCCTGCGGTCATAGCTGTAGTACTGAGAATTGATTTCTGAAGGGGTGGGTGATGGTGGAAAGCTGTCTGGTTGTAAGATATACAGTCTTTGTGTGGGGAGTGTATGGGATGCCATGCCTAGTAGCTGGTGAAAGGTCTTCTCTACATCCACTAGGCTTGTATCTTGTGGCCTTGAGTTCCTTAAGTTAATGCATGAATTGTGTGGAGAAGTGGTTTTCCTTGACTTGCTGTGCCTCTGTTTTCTTCTCTGACCCTCAAATCGAGTCCTCCTGCCTTCCCTGCCGCAGAGGGCCACTGGAGCAGGCTACCTCAGTGAGAAAGGCAGTGATAAACCCTGGAGTCCTCTCGGACTATTCTGAGGAGGTTTTGTGGCTCTTCCTCCCCAGGCGCCTGTAGAGATTGACACCAGCCAACCTGACCTGACTGCAGCCTTGCAGGAGATCCGCACCCAGTACGAGGTCCTCTCCGCTCGGAACCAGCAGTCGGCCGAAGAGTGGTACAAAGCCAAGTTTGCCAGCTTCGCCGAAGAGGTCGCCCGCAGCAGTGACGGCATCCGCCGAGCCAAGGAGGAACTCTCTGAGTGCCGCCACCAGTTGCAAGCACGCAACGTGGAGATCGAGACCCTCCGGAGCACCAACCGGTCACTCGAGCGGCAGCTGCAGGAAGCGGAGGAGCGCAGCCACGAGGAGAACCACCACCTGCAGGTGAGGGGGAGTCTGCTCGGGCGGGAGAGATGCCGGGGTGGGGCCCGGCTGGCCGGCCAGCGGGTGATTCTGGGGGGCAGTTGTTTTGTTCTGACTGGGAATGGTAGAGCATGTCAAGAGTCCCAGCGGGGTTCCTGAAGTCCCAGCGGCGTCGCGGCGTCTAGCGGAAAGCCAAGGCTGTCCCTTGCAAGGGGTGCAGGAGGCCTCTTCAAAGCTGGGGGTGACCTTCCCGTCCCTTTTGGGGAAAGGATGGGAGTCAGGGGGTGGGGAAGGGGCTTTGGGACCCTCCACAGGTGCTCGCCCATGGAGGCACCTTTGCTGAGATGACGATGGGCCCGATCCATTTCCAGGACACGATACGCCAGCTGGAAGACGCCTTGAGGACCACGAAGGGAGAGATGGCGCGTCACCTGCGGGAATATCAGGACCTCCTGAACGTGAAAATGGCCCTTGATATTGAAATAGCGGCATACAGGTTGGGCTCGGCCTTTTGCGTCCTTTGCATAGCGGCCCTGATCGGCTGGGGACGATGGGCCCGATCCATTTCCAGGACACGATACGCCAGCTGGAAGACGCCTTGAGGACCACGAAGGGAGAGATGGCGCGTCACCTGCGGGAATATCAGGACCTCCTGAACGTGAAAATGGCCCTTGATATTGAAATAGCGGCATACAGGTTGGGCTCGGCCTTTTGCGTCCTTTGCATAGCGGCCCTGATCGGCTGGGGAGGGGANGTGCATTTGAGTGCAGGAACGGTGGTTGCAAGAGGCCAGAACCCACGGCTTTGGGATTCCGGAAAGGAGTAAGCTGCAGGGCGTCCACCCTTCTGCCATCACCCCCACCAGCCCTATCTTCAACGGGCCCCAATCCACCAGGAAGTTCATTAGATTGAAAGAGTTTGCCACAGCAGCGCAAGACCAGGTGGGACATTTCTGCTCATCTGCAGGAAGGGGCTTTTGGTTTTTAATCTGTACCGAGTGCCTAAGAATCATACTTCTCGAATCCCAGTGTGATCCCAGCTCCAGATGCGTTTCCTATATTTTTAAAAAATCTCAGCTGAGTATCTAGTCGTCTCAGTGACTTCTATTCATGAATCCCAAAGTGTCTGTGAAATGCACTGGAAAATTACTCTTCAGGTGCAATTTTTAGCCCAGGAAAGCTAAAACCTTTTCATCTTTCAAGGCATCGCAAGAGTCTTTGCTGGGTTTTTCCCCCCCCTGCATTGTCTATAAAAGCTGATATAGAATAGCCTGGTGTGGCACCAGCAGCTTCCAGAAAGCTGGAAAGAAGTTGTGTGTTTCTTTAAATATTTTTGATGCATTAATTCTTTACAGGAAGCCACCTTTGAGGGCCAGTCTTGGCAATGTTCCACCAGGTTCCTTTACAAAACAAGATCTCAGCTGGGTTTGCAAACGCTCAGTTCTGAATCCCTGCTGGAATGCCAGTGGGGCTCATTTAACCTTGGCTTTCCTTGGTCTCCCTTCCCTGCCCTCTGTAGGAAACTGCTGGAAGGAGGGGAGACCCGCCTGAGCACCATCAGCGCCGTCAGCAGCAGCAGCAGCCGCATGCTGGGCTTCATCATCCCCTTCTCCTCGAGCCCCCTGTCAGGTTTGAAGGGGTTCTCCAGCAGCACGCTTGCCATCAGGAAGGACGAGAAAGGAGAAACAGAGGAGCGCCCCCACCACCCTGGAGATTCAGAGGAGCCCGACGTGGCTGTGGAGGAGGACTCTTCCGGAGACGAGAAGTCAGAAACCAGCCTGGCCAAGGACTAGGCAGGGCTGAAGCTTCTGGCTCTCCCACCATTTTGTGGATTAATTTTATCTGTGGATTTTTTGGTTAGATTTCCACCCTCCTTGACCTCCAGTAAGCTGAAGGCAGGATCCCTGGTTTTCTTCCTCCCCGTTTGCATCCCCAGAACAATCCATAGGCAGAGAGAGGGAGATTCAGAGCTCAAGTGGGGATTTGAACCCGAGTCTCCTGTTCAGTACCCAAATGGCAACACCAGCATCCAACTCTGCTCAGTAGGAATTATTCCCTGAGAAATGTATTGAGGGATGAATGATGAGTCTTCCTGCATCCCAAGCATGTGACACGGGTCATGGGCTTCACCAGCTTCCTTGGTGAAATGACCCCAGGTGGACAAGGCTCCAAAGGACTGGTTTCTGTTCTTTAACCCCTCCCGAGCCTCTCTGTCTTTGCTTTCCCTTATCATCCTTATCCTCTTGCATGCATACATGAATGAGTGAGTGAGGTCTGTCTCAAGCAGGATGGATGAGGACTAGAATCTTGCCAAGGCCAATTATCCCCAACACCACCACCCCAGGAGCTGCCTGCAGGTCATCAGCAAGCATCGGGGGGAACAGATGCAGGGGACAAGGTGGCTTGAATCTTTCTCAGGAAACGTCCGTTTGACCCACCCCCCCATCCCTTAACCTGGGGTGTTTGTGACAACCCGTGAATGTCCCCACTTGACAGTACCTCCCAACATTTCCCCCTCATCCTTTCATTTTAATTTCAAAAGCCCAGGGCAATTTCAGAATGTTAATTTTTTTATTTTTTGCATAAGGCCTCCCCCACCCCTGCCAAAATCCGAAGTGATAAAGTCACGCTGGGGGGGCCTTTGGTCAAACTACGAGAAAGGGGTGGAAATGTGGAAAATGTCCCTGGCACCAGTAGAGGAGGCCAAAACGGGGTGAGAGCGGAGGGCAGAACCCCCTTAGCAGGACGCCACGTGGCCCATGAGATGTGAGGACTGTTTGCCAAGCCCCCCCTCCCCTCCCGTCCTAACAGTTTTCAGGAAGCAAAGGTTTATTGAGGCCTCAGACCTATGAAAGGTCTTGGGGGGGGGGGAATCTGACAGCTGCCTCTTCCCAGGAGCTGATCACAAACAGCTTGACAGGCCAGATTCGTTTCCTTCCCCTGAAACCTGCACCTCACCGATGCCCTCTCTGTCTGTTGTGGGACTACGGAAGGCGCACTGCCTGCCGCAGGAGGGGGGGAAACAGCCCCCAACGGATCATCATCATTGCTCTGTGCTCTCCTCGTGGCACTCTCTGCTCCTTCGTAAAGCTGCCTCCAAGCACCTCCATCATTCAAAGCCCCCTCTTTGGGACTGTTTTTAAGAAGGAGGAACGGGGAAGCTGTGTGTTTCCCTTTTTAAATAAAAGCCAAGCCCTGAAAGACATATCCAGCTAGACTTTCAGAGGTGGGAACGATGTGTTTATAATCCTTTATTAAGGAAAGAAAAAAAAAACATTTCAGAGGATTGGTGGTTTTTATCTTTTCTGTGCAGCATAGAGGATGAGTCCCTTGAAAGAAATGGGCAGTGTAACAGATCTGCAGCTTTTAATGATCGTATCTGTCTGTACCTTGTCTTTCCTGAATCTTCTGGAGGTTGTTAGCCCTTGCTGTCAGGTGCCTGTAGTCCTGGCTGCCTTTAGGCAGGGAAGAACCCAGAGCGACAGCGGTCTGTCTGCATATCTCCACATCTGGGCACTTAACTTCCCCCCCACACACACACACACACCACCACCATCCTCCAGTTCCTTATTATTTCTGCCCCCCCCCACGGCAGCCCTCTTCTCTTCCACGATGAGCTGTTTGCCTTGCAGACACAACTTTTGAATGCAGTGTCTAGTCTGGCTCGGAGGTGGTGCCCTCAGCAGAGGAATGTGCATTGTAGAATTTGTAGGATGGCTTTGCTTGGTATTTTGAATGGAAAGCCTGTAGTGACTCAGAGCCCTGCGGAAGGGTTAGATATTTGCAGAACTGAAATGGATGTGCTGCTAGAACTGATCCAGAGGGTTTGAAATGTTGCTGTTATTTCTTCCGGATGAAGGATGTTTTTTTCCATTAAAATAGTGCACCATTTCAGTAAAATTCAAAATACTTCACCCGGTAATGAGACCATGAACTGATTTCTGCCCCAAAGTTTGCCGATGTTAAAAGGACAAGGACAGGTGTTTTGTTTTTTTTAAGAAAAAGGGTTTATCAAAAACACAAACTGCCTGCCATCCAGGCTGCAACCAAGCCAGCTCTGAAGGGTCTCCCCCAACTCCCCAGACAGTTTGCTAATCAGCCTTTGTGTTCAGAGCAAGAGGTAGCTTGCACCTGAGAACAACAATCCAGCCTTAGATCTTGGCTTTTTTGTGCTACACATCTGGGGGAAGACATGGGGATAAAATGTTAGCACATCATCATCCAAAATTCAGAATCTCTTAATGAAAGGGGCACTAGTTGGCGAGGGTCCTCTCCAGGAGCAGCTTTTAAAAAGGTGATCAATTTCAGTCTGAATCTCACAATTGAGTTAAAACAGGCAGCTTTGAAGTAAAGGGCAGCCGTGTGGTTGAAACAAAATAAAATCCAAATGCAAAAATGGGCAATACCGTTATATAGCACTAAAAAAAAATCATCACATAATAAACAAGCTTTCATGGATTAAACCACTTCATCAGGCTTGTATCAGTGTGAAAACTTTACAGTTAGAAGTCCAAAAGCTTGGTTATAAAAAACAAACATATTTATGTATCTGTTTGCTCACATTTCTACTGAAATGTCAGCCAGAATACCACATGGCATAATCATAAAGCATTATAAAATCATATCACACATTGAAAAGGTAAAATATCATGTCATCACCTTAATTCCCACGGTAGTGGAACAACCACATAACACGGAGGAATGCCATCAAGACAGAAGATGAAGGAATAGCACTGACCATTTCTTAACTCCATGAGTTCCTTGCAATGGACTTCTCTCAAGCGATGCTCCTGGTGGATCATGTCCCAGGTCGCAAGCATCCTGAAGCACAGGTGCTGTTAAGAGAATTCTCTGCCTGGCCAAACAATGAAGGTTTCTGTGTTTATGGAGATGCTTTGTGGAAGGCTATGAGTATGTACGGTGGTGTGTGTGTGTGTCATACACTCCTTTCAAATGCTGCTTATTTAATAATTAGTGAGATTGGTGCATGATGCCACGTTCCAAACTATGTCTTGTGTCTCCCCCCCCCCTTATTTCTCTTTTATTTATCTATATAAAGTAATTTTAGAGGATTTTAAAAATGTAGTTGGAAGGCAAATAAAGTGGAAATGAAAAGCCCAAGCAGATGGCTTGGTGATGGTCTGATGGCGAGGGCAGATTTGTTCCGGTGACTCCGAGCCAAGGCTCCTGGCCGTCAGTTGTAAGAAAACATTTCTTTCTTCCCTTTCACTTCAAAGATGAGCCTTAAGAGATGCATTCAGACTTTTTCCATGGAAAATTCGTAGGGCTTCCAAATTCCAAATTAGCGCTGGCAGAATCAGTGCACCTGTTTCAGAGGCTGGGGTTCAGTTGCGCTGTGCTGGGTTGCAAAGGAAAGGGATTACCGTAATGCTCTTTATCCCTCTGGCTCCTGGGCTTCCCTCCGTGAGATGGGCTTGGGGACACAACACTCACTGGCTTCTCCCCTCTTAGTCTCCCTGCTGGTGGACAGGACCATCTGACCAGAGGAGGAGACCTGGCTGTCTTTGAAGGTGGGGTAACCTTGGCCAAGGCATAGATGGATACCTAGATGTCTCCCCCTGGGATGCCAACTCTTGAAATCAAAACATCCGGTGTCTGCTTGGAGCCTTCTTGGTCCCAGGATGGAGCCCAGAGCTCCGAGGGCATGGCTCGGTTTCCTCCCTCCACTTCTTTTACCCTTTAGTTTAAGTGAAAGGCTGATGGCAGCAAAGCCCTGATCCTTTGCAAGGATGCTCACACATTCTGTTCCATAGGATTGGGGCCACTGGGAGGCTGGTAGTCTCCTTTTTTGCGGGGGGGCGGGGAATGAACTGAGTCATATTTTAATCCAGAAGTGCCAGGAGCTATTCAGGGGCAGAAATCAGATTCAGCACCCTGGCTAGCTCCTACCGCATTTCGATTCAAACCATAAAGAGGTTTCAGAGGCGCCACAAAATCGGAGTCACCCAATTCCTGGCCGATGCCAGAAGTGTCATTATAGTTGTATAATCATGCAAGCGTGGTGTGCATAGCTTCAGCACAGTTTGTTCTGTCAATCCTATAATCGGAGGGGGCTGGGGTGGGACAAGCTTTTCCCTACAAGTGATTCCTACAAGCTGATTCTACTAAATTTGGATTCTGCCCTGCCTGAACCGGCTCTGTCTTCCTCTGCCTTCAAGCCATGTGTGGCCAGTCTCTGATAAACGCCAGCAGTCTGCTTTTATTGGGAGGAATGTCTGCTACGTTTATTGAATTAAAGCTCAGGCTGCACTGATAAATGATCCCTCCCCTGGCAATGACATCCTTGGCACCAGAGGTTCATTTCCAGGTGCTCATGGAGTGGGAAGTAGCCCCTGGTGACGCTGCTGGTGGAGCAACCTGGGAGAGAGCGCTGGTTAAAATTGGACATGCCCCACACTTATTTTTTATTTCACTTCCTTTCTGCTTTATAATTAATCCTCTTATTATAATACATTTTCTGTCGAATTTAGAGATTTCACGTGATGTGGCTGCAGAAACGGCTTCTGGGGAGACTAGGAGTGGTCTCGCCCGCAGGGGAAGTCTGGAAGAGCCTTCCCCAAAGGCCCCCTTGCCTGCACACCTCCTGCTTAGCCTTCCTGAGCTCCAAACTTCCAGGGGGCCAGGCAAACGGCAAGCATTCATCTCGAAGAGCAGAACTCAGTTGGACTGCTCACCCGTCAGAGAAAGCTTCCCCTTTTTATGGAGACAGGAGATCTGAAACAAAGCATTTCTCAGCCCACTGGAACACACACACACACACACCATTTAAGGGGAGGGATTGTTGCCGCTCGCTGGAGCTGCCTGTTTAAAAACGAAGTCACATGCTTGTCGCTGGACTGTACTCAGACGAGGGGGGTCATTAACGGGAGTAGCAGATGCAGAGCGACCTCCTTGCCTTCCCTCCGACCTGCCCAGCTCCCTCGCCATCCATGCTGGAGAGCCCTGGCCCTTCTTCTGTGCCTCCTCTGGGGTCCTGCCAACACCCAGCGCTGCCTTCTAGTGTGGCCGAGGAGGATTTGGTCTTGTTTCCGACCAGCAGCACAATTCCAGCAAAGCCAGGGCCGGAGGGCATGCTGAAAACACAAATTGTGCACACCTCTGCCAGGAACTGTAGCCTCCACCCCCATCCTGCTGGTCAAGTGCTGTTCTTTCCGTATGATTTAGCTCAACGTGCCCTCATCTCCTTCAAACCAATCTAAACGAGCATTTTGTGCCAGTCCTCTTTGTAAGCAGAGACTGAGCAGTGGCATTTCCTTCTTCAAGCACTACCAAGGACTGCACTGAGATAAGAAGCAAAGAAGGAAGATAATCTAAAAGCTAATCCATAAATATATATAAATATATATCTATCTCAAAAAAAGTTAATTTATAAAGATCCCTTATTTTTAAAGCATATTCAACCAACAAGCCGGAGCAAGGATGCAAGGATCGTGGGACACTGAAAGAACCCAACTTCACTGGCTTTTTAACAAGAAACTGGCCTTCAAACACTGGAACGGGTTCAATTTAATTTATTTTAAAAATATAATATAAAGTAGGCCGGTAAAGGCATAGTATCACTTAAAGCAACCTAACACCTGGCCCTTCTGTCAGACTCCCATCTGGGGATTACAGTTCACCCGTCAACTTTGTGCACCGTGGTGTCAGCAACAAAGAAAAGACACAGGATAGTCACAGGGTAGAAAGGAGAAATACCAGAATTATTGTCGAACTGAGCAGCCATAAAATACGCAAGAGAAAAGGAAGGAAGTGGGAGCCACGGACGTTGTTGTTGCTGCTGCTGCTGCGGCAAATCGGGGGGCCATCTACCACCAAGCCACCCACGCTGGGCTCCGGCTCCCGGCGATCTCCCCAAACCGAGGCCGTGGCAGTGACGGCAGGTCTGTGCAAACTATGCAGTGAAAGAAACGCGCTGGCAGTTCAGGGGAAGGTGATGGTCGTGAGCGGCATCAGCTCCAGCGTCTGCTCAAGAGTCGGGCGCTGCTCTTGGTACTCGGTGGCGTGACCATTGCCGTAGTGGCCGTACTCAAACTTGATCCGCAGCTCGCCAATTTTGGACTGGGGCAGGATGTCTGGGATCCACTCAATGATGAACGGTGTGGGTTCCTTCTGATCCGGGGACATGTTACCTGATGAGAGAGAGAGAGGGAAACCCGGAAGAGAAGAGCCATCACCTCGGAGCCTCTCCTCCAACATCAGACAGCCAAACGAAAAACAAAGCCTCTTGTTTCGGCTGGGGAATAAAGAGAAAGCGCTCCGGGCTGCAAACGTATCGCACTGTCAACGTACCAACTTTCAGGAAGGTTTTGAGTTCCAGAGGTCGAAGCACCGGCTGCTTCTCCAGGCGCCCGTAGGTCTCCGGGATGCTCTCCACTTCCACCTTGGGACACTTAAAAGGTTCATAGGTGCCGTCTCGGTTCTGGATAAAGCTGCGTGTTACTTCCAGAGGCATCTGGAAAGAGAAACCAGATGGAGAGGGTGAGAACAGAGGGCCCTCCAGGGGCGTCTCTCTGCTCTGCTCTCAGGGCCTGGTAATCACTCTGCTATAAGAGGATATTTAGCTCCTGCCCATAGAGGACTAGAACCTTTACACTCACCCTCTAAAGGCAGGAAGGGGCATTCGAAGCTGGGGCCCCTCCTGATGAACCCGTCCGGCAGGCACCTGCACCCCCCTGGAGGCAAAGTGGCAGAGCCAGGCCGGCACCTTCCCGTTCGCCCCCCCCCCCCCAGTCAGCGCCCTTCAACCCGTCCATATTTCTCAAGGCCAGGGTACAAATCCATCTCACCTCCAGGGTGTCGAAGATCTGTTTGACCTGCAAGATGTTGGTGATGTGCCAGGTGTATTTGGAAAAGGTCCCCAAGGGTAAGGCATCTTTCCGGACGAAAGCTTAGAAAGACACAAGCGCGTTAGAGAGCTGATGCTTGGGGGGAGGGGGGGAGCAGGCTCCTATCTGTCCTTTGCTCGTGAGCAATTCACAGGAAAGGAAGCATTTTTCACTCTCCAGGGAGCAGTTCTAGAGATTGGGGAGAAGATTCTTCCAGCGGCGGCGGCTAGTTCAAAGGCAAGCCATTTCTGGGGGTCAGGGGTTGCACCAGCCTTTCCCTGGCCCCCAAAGGGCCACACCCACCTATGGTTTTCCCATTTTCCTTTCTGGGCCCGTCCAGTGTTGGGGGGAAAAAAGCTCCCTTGGGTCTGAAGCAGCCCCAGGAAGTCCCCAAATGGCCCAGGACGTCTCCAAAAAGCTTCTGAGACACCATCTTCCACTTTTTAGCCAACATCCTTTTCAGGATATGCGTTGGGGGATTTCCAGGCACCTAGAGGAGACTGATGGGGCTGGCAGAGGGGGCTCACGGGGGGCCCATAGATGGCACTCTGCCCACCCCATGCCAGTTCTTCCCTCAGGAAGCAGCTTTCTTCCCGAGAGAGCCTTCCTTCCCCCCATCCTTATGACTCGTAAGGAAACAATGCCTGGACATCATCACTGCTGTCGTCCCTCTGTGCCAATGAGCTGCTCTCACTGGGGGCTTCCCGTACGAAAGACGCCTGCCCTGGTCAGTTACCTGTGGTTGAATTGGGGAGGCGTTTCTTGATGCTCCCAATGGAAATTCTCTGCTGAAGAGCCTCAAAGAAAGACTGGGGAATGTGGAACACCAACGGTTCTGGCTTCCCTGAGTGAAAAGCAAACACACACATAAACCCCCCCGAAATAAAGAAAAAGAAAGCGACTGGTAGAGCCATAAGCCAAGTATGTATTTCCCAACAGTTCCACATAAAACTACCACGTAAAACTACTAAGCGGACCATCGCTTAGCAGACACGACAAACAAACATCCCGAAGTCAACCTCAACGTTCTGTTTGCTGGAGATCAAAACGGAGAAAAGAGCAAGGGGGGGGGGAAGAGCCTCCCGCCCAGTTCCGTTCAACCTCCGAAGGTATGGGTAAATCAAACTGCGTAGGAGGGAGTCCCAATTAGCTTTGCTGTTGCATAGATTTCTTTTATCTCCCACACCCAGACACGTGGGGCAACCCCACACCACGTCTACTTTCCACCCCGAGGCGAGACACTATCCCTGTGTACACAAAGCCACAGGACAAACCAACACGTGGTGCTTTTACCCTGCGATCCTTTCGTGGGCTCAGCCCATTCAAGGCCGAAAGACGAGGCTGGCAGGGATGGGCGAGGAAGGCTTACCATCAAACTGGTAGTGCATGGCTTGGTGGATGCGCTCCGTGACACTGGCCAGCCACTCCTGGAAGGACAACGTCACGTGGGACTCGTCCAGCAGCTGGCTGCACGCTAAGAGACAGGAAAGGCCATTGGCCACCGGCTTCTCTGTGACACCCGCTGCCCTGCCTTTACTTCCAGGGGCCCGACAGAATGGCTCATCGCTCTCCTCCTCTCTGACCTTTCTTCCAAACATCCCTGTGAGGCAGATCAGACCAGGAGGGAGCGAGTCCATGTGTGCGTGTGTTTGTGGGCAGGGGAGACTCATGCAAGGGGATGCAGCATTTCCTCAAGGGAAGGAAAGGCAACAGCATTCCCTCTGGAGGCCACCTTGACTCGGAGTGAAGGGTACGCTTTGATTGCTCTTTATTGAAGGACGATTAACCTTTCAAGTTAAAATTTCTCCCAAGGGGGGAGGGGAGAGGATGTACATACATATGGCTAAATCCACCTGTACTCCTGGTTGGAGTCGAATGGTCTATGGGGGGGGGGCATTAACACTGCAGGGTCATACACAGCAGCTCTGTGCTCTGAACCGTCCTCTCAAGAGGTACGGAGGGCGCGCGCGCAAGGAACAGAACCCACCTTGCCTTTTGAGCGAAACCACTGGGCTTTTTTTCTGCCCACTCTTCCGCAGGCTGCTGTTTGCCACCTCTTGGGACAAGAGAGGGCCATTTCCTTGTGCCCCTGAAATTGAAATTTCAACAGCTTTAGAGCGAGTGATATGTTTTTGACCAGAGGCTTCTTTCTGGTGGTGAAAAGGGTACCAGAAACCCTTTAAGAACCTTTGCAGGCAAGGTTCCCTCTAAGCTGGGCACGCTCCTCTGCCTCCCTAAGCGCAGTTGTCTTCCTCCTCCACGCAACAATCATGTTAGGTTCCGGTTGTGACAGAACCCTGTGCAGGGTATGTGTGTGCGAGTCTCATGCAGGGGCAAAGTCGCACAAGGGAGAAGCAGTGCCCTGCCAAGGGGAGCTCAAAGTTAGCGGGCACACTGTTGCTTGCATGACATTCAACCCTGCAAAAAGAGGCCTCATCTTTGTACAGCAGAACCCTCAAACCACAGAATCAGTATCCACTAATTCACTTATCCATGGCCTGAAAATATTAAAAATATTAAAAGAAAAATGCCTAGAAATATATATTTCTAACAATGAAGTTACCAGAACTGGCCACTAGAGAGAGAGACAGAGACCATGCTATGTATAATAGCAGACAATCCTCGTCCCTAAGCCAATGGTCACCCGGTTGGGATCAAGGCCGCCTGCTTTCTACAGATATGCATGTCAACAAAGCTCCCCATTCCCTCACCGACCACCCCGAGAAGGGGAAATCCAGATCTAGGCCTCTGACCTGAGCTGCCTTCTCTTTTCCTCCTCTTGGCTTTCGATGCAACAGCATCTCCAGAGGGCGGGGCAGATTCAGGCTGGCAGACAAGCTGTGCTCCTATCGCAGGCTTCAGACCTGGGGTTGCAGGAGTTAAAAAAAAAAGCAGAAGGCCCAATTCTTTTGAGTTACCCGTATTTCTCACAACCCATGTAATGCCTACAGGGACTTCAAGGCTGAGGCACTCTGGATCTCCTGGGTCTTTGCTGAGTCTCTCTCTCTTTTTTCTTTCTGTTCTCTCTCCTCCCACCTCCACATCTCTTTAGAAAAGGAAGCCTCTGCCATTTTTACTTGCAGAGATATAAGGGGAAAGGACACACTCCATTTCCCCACCGATACAAAGCCGGCTGAGCTCTCAGGAGCCCCTTCACCCCCTTCAGGCTGGGTTTTCCAATTCCAGCCTTGCCTTAAGGTCACTCCTCACAAGGGTGACCACTGTCAAGACCAGGGTAGACCGGCCATGTACACGTCAACAAATCGAAGGACAAGCATTCCCAGATAAAAGAGAACACTGGTGTGCATGTAGTTGCATGTGCTGATTTACAAGTCCCCCTGCAGAATCAGAAGCCCTTTTTCAACAACTGCACTGAATTCCAACACATTGCACTCATGGGAGATTTGGGGCCTCAGCTCCCCCTTTTCCATATGGTTCTTTGTCATGAAAAGAGATTCAGGACCAGACACCTCTTTCAAAAAGGGGGCATCCTGAAAAGGAGGCCCTTCCCCCACCTCTGGATGAGGAGAGGTGGCCGCTCAGCCTTGGTGAAGGTGCAGGCCAAGCCTCCCTCCGGCCTCCACCCCCACCCCCCGATCCTCCCCTGAGTCTCCTCTGGGCTCGCAGGGGGCACATCCTGCTGCCCTGCCCTCGCCCCATTCCTTGCCCTTACCCACCGCTGGAATCGCAGCTGAGGAAATCTGCAAACTCCTGGGCCAGAGCATCGTCGCTGGCGAAGGCACAGACGCAGGCAAAGAAGTGGATGCATTTCTGGCCCGCCTCGTCCTTGGGAGGGCCGGCCTTGCTGGGCCTCCAGGCCTGGCAGGAGCAGAAGAAGCGGCGCTCCGCCACGTTCTTGGGACCTGCCTTGTGAGTGAACGACGTGTGCAGGTAGCCCAGGCTGTGCTTCGGGCTCGCTTTGCATTTGACCACCAGAATGTTCTTGGTGACCCTTTGGACCAGGGGCCCCGTGGGCTCGGTGGCCAGCTGCCAGAGGGTCTGCTTGGCATCCGGAGAGGCCTGCATGGCGTTCAGGACCGAGCTCTTCAGGGTCAGCGGCGTGGCCTCCGTCTGGCAGTTCCCTGCCAGCTTGATGTGCTGGCACTGGTTTTCGGCCACCCCCTGCGAGGCGGCCTTCAGACACGAGGGGACGTGGCAGCGTCCGGAGCTGAGCTGGGTAAGGATGGTCCCGTCGACCGTCTGGAGGGTGGTCTCCGAAACCCCCAGCTCCACAAAGCATCGGTGGTCAGGGCCCCGATCCCTCTGCCGCACCGAGTAGACCTGCACGTCCGAACCTGTGACAATCTTGACCGCATCCACGCCGGCCTGCTTGCGGGCGCCGTAGCGGAAGACGGTGCCGCAGGTCTTGTTCTTGCAGCTCAACCCCCGGGTGCCGTTGTAGGTGCCGCAGCGCGGGCACTTCCGGATCCCTCGCAGGGTGGCTTTCCCCAAGTCCGATAAGAAAGCCGGGACTTTGCTCCTCAGGGAGTTGAATTCCATCTTTTAGTTTACGGAATCTGGGGGGGGGGGCAAAAAGAGGCACAAAAAGGTGACTTACATGAAGCCCTGGGATGCCTTTCCCCCCTCTCCCCCCCCCAGGTCCTTTCTGGGTCTGGCCCTGCAGGTCTTCATCCTGTCTCCACCTCCCTTGATCCCCCCCCTGAAAGAGGGAACCCACTCCTCTCAATTACAATTCCATCCCTTGTGTTTCAAAGGACACCTTGAAAGACTCTCTCTGTGGACCACAAATGAAGGAACAGGAACCAACAGCACATGGCGGCAAACAAAGCTCGTGTCATTCTGGTCTGCGTCAATGGAAGAGCACCACTTCTACCTTCGTGCCAAGCGGAACCTCTCTTTCGCTTTCCAGGGGTGAAGACTGAAAGGTTACACCAAAGGCCAGAGACGTGGGGAATATGTATTCTCTCCCCCCCCCCCAGCCAAAATAGTTGGAGAGGTGTGGGGAGCAATGGCAGTCAGGGCTGCACGATGAAGAAACATAGTCAACCTCCCGCCTGCCCGCTACTGCCTGAAGGTGCCCCAACCCAGCACAAGAAGCCGCCCCGTAGGCTTTCCGGTTCGGTTCCCATCCAACGGCAGACAGAGCAAAGGGCAGGGGGAATGGTAGCATGGGGGATGTGGGGGGGGGGGAAAGGGTTCTCTGCTCTGCTTATCTGCTGCTGCTCATTTGCATTTGGGGGTTAGGGAGGTGGATGAAACTTCCTGGCTGGGGGACAGGATTAAAAAATAATAACTACTGTATTTCATCTCTGTCAAACTCCACTCGATATATCATTAACAAGCTAAAAAAAACCCAGCTAGGAGGGTTTGTTGGGAGGCGGAGACGAAACTAACCTTGTATTTGCCGGGTGGCAACCAAAGCCTCAGTTAGCCATGTGGCAAGTGAGGAATGAGAAACCACATTCCGGGGACGACTGCAAAGGGGACGAAACTGACCGGCTCTAAACTCTAGGAGTCCAGGCGACGACAATCCTCGGCTTCCCATTCCAATTCCATGAGAGTCAGGATGTCAATCCAGTGGAACTGAGACAGCCATCAGTCAGATCTGATATCCTGCCACGAGGCTTCCTGCGCTGAGCAGGAGAGTGGACTCGGTGGCCTTCTTGCTAGAAGGACACTTTCATGGCCTCCTTGCAACTCGAGGGTCCTAGGAGCCTTCGCACGACCCGTCGGACTCCAAAGAACGATGCCGCTGTGTTGTGTCCCAGCGCCTTTTTCTTTTACATTAACTCTCCTTCCTGGGATACCTAAATAAATGAAAGATGTAGAAGCATAGGTTTCTCACCTCTTCCTTTCCGGATGTCCAGTGGGACATCAACTGGTCATTTGGCTGGAGCATCACAATGGAGCCACCCCTGACACAGAAACTCTCCTGTGACACATCACAGAGTTCATAATGGATACCAACTCCTGCAATAAAAGAAACGGTGGGATCCAGAGGGATCGGCTGGTCCTAGAAGCATGAAAAGCAGTAGATTTCCCCCCCCGCTTCTTCCTTCCTTTCCACCAACACCGGTGGTATAAAAATTGCTCTGCTTCCGTCGAGGCCAATGCTGAGAGTAGCCAAAGGGTCTTTTTTGGTCCGCCCAGCAACCGACCTAAGAGAATCCCAAACTTGCTTTTGAATTTGATCCTCGTCAAAACAAGATAACTATTTTAGCATTTTGCCCCGAGTCACGTCTGACTGCAAAACGCAGGCAGAACCAGCACTACAAGGCGGGCCTTCTCTGACACACACACACACACCCCCCCGTCTTTGAGGCTTTGCTTACCAGGCAAGACCCCAAAGGAAAGGAAAGGAGACAAACACGAACGCTGAAGGCTGCCACTCAGCCGGGCTCGAGGACGCCTGTGACAGGCAGCGGGGGCGGCTGTTTGGACCGACGACCACCGTCTTCTGTTTCGCTGCCCCGAGAGGAGCCTCCTTTGGGCCCCCCCCCCCGCAGAAAAGGGCTTTCCTCACAGAAGAGATGGGGGGGCACAGAAGAGGGAGCGGGGCCCTTGCTCCAAAGGTGCTCTGAGACTGATCTGAGTTAACATTCGAATACAACGTACTTGCTCAATTCTTTAGATAGATATAGACTGATATCGGTATTTGTCCGCTTCCTCTTTTCAGCTCTTCAAGACGGTTTCCACGAGGTCAGCCGCCTTGGGCCCCTTTTTTTTGGAGGGGGGGGAGAAAGGCGGAACAGAAACATTTGAAATAAATGGCAGGCAAAACCGGGGAGGCCCGGTCGGGGTTTATTCCAAAGCGCCTCCTGTCAGGATCGCGCCCGCCTGCCTGTCCCCCCCCCCGCAACCCCAAGGCCACCCTTTTGCCCGGCCGTCGGCGGGGCAGAAGAAAAAGCGCGCCCCCCCCTCACCATCATCCCCACCGGGCACGAGAGGAGGCAGGCGCTCTGCGTATGCTCAGGGGCACGGCGGACCTTCCCCCCCCGTCTCTCTCTGAAGGGGTCTGCATTTGGGGGGAGGGGGGGCGACTGCTCCCCGGAGCAGGGCGGCGTGACGTCACGACCCAGCCCCCACCCCACCCCCGTCTCCCCGTTGCCACGGCGACCCCGCGAGGGGGGGGCGACCC